TTATTTTATTTTGACGTCATTCCAATGTAATGAACCAGTTATATCACCAAAAGTTATCATATTTTGTTTGAAATTGGCCGAAAAGTTAAAGGTATGAGGATTCTAATCTCAACGGAATCAAACAGATCTACCTTCAAAGTTACAGAAACCTGAGATGACTAAGATACCATATGATTTTAAGTACCCCTACCAGACCGTTGAATATCCTCATTTCACCATTTTGACGCCATTTCTAATGGATTTCAATGGAGTCATGCATGAATTCCTCATGATTTTTTCAAAACAAATTGGCCGAAAAGTGTGCATGTGTACATTGCTTAAAACATGTTAAATCAGTAAAGGTTGATGTCTAGTTATAGAAACCTGAGATGACTAAGGTGGCAAATCAATATCATTCGCACAGTAAGCGTTCGAAAAATGTCTCCATTATAAATCCCATAGGCTTTGGAAAATCGGAAGTAATTGTTCTGCGCATGCGCAGTGAAATATTGGACAAATTTTGTGCAATGGCGTTCTGACTTTTACATGTAATTGGCCAAAGTGTTCTAAACATTTGCTCACTCAGATTTCAAAGCCGGAACACTTTGGTCAATCAATTGTAAAAGTTGGATTACTTTGATCAATCAGATGTAAAAGTGGGAACACTTTGGTCAATCAATTGGAAACGTAGGAACACTTTCTTCAATTAGTTGTAAAAGTCGGAACACTTTGGTTAATCAGATTTAAAAGTCGGAACACTTTGGTCAATCAATTGTAAAAGTAGGAACACTTTCTTCAATTAGTTGTAAAAGTCGGAACACTTTGGTCAATCAGATTTAAAAGTTGGATTACTTTGATCAATCAGATCTAAAAGTCGGAACACTTTGGTCAATCAATATCACAAGTCGGACCACTTTGGTCGATCAGATGTAAAAGTCGGAACACTTTGGTCAATCAATATTACAAGTCGGACCACTTTGGTCAATCAATATTACAAGTCGGAACACTTTGGTCAATCAGATGTAAAAGTCGGAACACTTTGGTCAATCAAATGTAAAAGTTGGAACACTTTGGTCAATCAGATGTAAACGTAGGAACACTTTCTTCAATTAGTTGTAAAAGTCCGAACACTTTCTTTAATTAGTTGTAAAAGTCGGATTACTTTTGATCAATCAGATGTTTAAGTCGGAACACCTTTGGCAATCAATTGTAAAAGTAGGAGTACTTTCTTCAATCAGTCGTAAAAGTTGGAACACTTTTGTCAATCAGATGTAAACGTCAGAACACTCTGGTCAATTAATTTTAGAAGTCGGAACACTTTCTTCAATCAGTTGTAACATTTTGGTCAATCAGATGGAAAAGTCAGAACACTTGCTTCAGTCAGTTGTCAAAGTCGGAACACTTACTATTACTATTCTTTGCTTTGTGGGAGTAAACAACACTGATGTAATCTTTGATATAACTATACATGCCTTCTTATACTTTGTGATTAAGGTTAGGGCTGCAACAGGAAGGAGGTGTTGAGAACTTGAAGTCAAATGCAAGGAACAGAAAGTGCAAATGTAATAAACGATAGTTTCTCATCCACTGTACACTGTTCAACTCTACCAAATTTTGGAAGTAACTTGAAGCTAAAAACTTTATTTTCAGCATTTTGTCCTCATACTATGTCTTTTAAAGGCCCCATGTAAAGTTTAAACCACTTTGGCTAATATTGTACTTTCCCAATGTTATCAAAGTGTGATATGTGAAACTTTTTTTTTAAATTTCAAAAAGTGGTTTTAGATAGACTTTTTGTTCCAAAATTTGTGAATTTATTTAAAACCAACTTTAAGAGGTCACTCATATCTTCTAATTAGCCACAATTCATACCAATGCATAGCATTCATCCTCCCATGTTTTTTGCCGAAAAAATTAAGAAAATCGGTTGATAAACAAGCGAGAAATGAACTTATCAGTGCATGAAAATGGTTCTGAGAAAAATGCATTTCAAAATTTTAGTTCTCATAGAAACCAATGGTACAATGATATCTAAAACATAATTTATTCTTCCTTTTAACCTGGTTCGACAATCAACATTGGTTTTTTATGAAAGTCTAGCATATTTAGAAAAGATTGACATCGAAAAAAAAAATTCAATTTTTTTCAAAAAGTTTTTGTTACCTTAGTGACATCACTAATGTTTCAAAATATTTTTGATAAGCTAAAACATCGAAGTCGCCCATTAAATATGACATTTTATTATTGAAATAGTGTGTCTTTTGTTCAATCTATGCATTGGTGTTAAAAATATAATCTTTTTTGAAATGCATTAAGAAATATTTGATGATTAAGAAATTTCAATTTTTTTTTAAAAATGGCGGGAAATTTGAATATTTGAGAAATGAAATGCTCACAACTTTTTTTTCAAAAATCTTTTTTTGTTAAAAAATCTCTAAAATCACTTTTTAAGTCCTGACAAATAGTAAATGAATGATAAAAAAAATATTTTCAAACTTTAGACGGGGACTTTAAACGATTGTGTTGTCTTAGTGCGCAACATTTTTTATATCAGATTCACTAATGTTCCCGTTTTTGCAAAAACATGTTGTTAATGCGAAGAATTTTATTTTTTATTATTCAGAGGATTTGCTCAACTTTCATGCGCTGCAACGCGCATTGTTGGAATCTATATCTATGATTAGTGGAAATGACAAAGAGCAGACAATGGCGGAGACAGCAGCAAATCACGGCCTTAGTGTTATCGAACATGATGGTGATGGTAATTGCCTGTTCCATGCATTGGTTAACCAACTGAAGCATCATAGTTGTTGGATTTACACCAGAGCCATAAGACGTCTTGGCTAAAACGTTTTAGGTTAAAACGTTTTACAAATGTAATGTAAATCCAGATTTTCTCAAGAGCTCTCGGCTAATAATATAAGCTAAAACGTTTCAGGACTCTAGATTTATATGTCTTTACGATGGAACAAATTCACAAAAACTCGTGTATTTGAAAAAAACTAAACTCAGTACGCAAGTAAGAAACTGGATATTGTATCTCTGGAGAATGAAAAATGGGAAAATTTGGAGTCATAAGAATAAATTCAAGTAGCATGTCTTATCATGTCTTATATACACGTTATCCCCCCTCCATCCTATACCCCCTCCATCCAATATTAATTTATTTCGATTATTTTTTGTATAACGCATGGAAATTTACTTTAAAAAGTGAGCAATGTCATTAGTATTGTGATAATAACGTCCCTTATACCTATTTATAACAGGTCGTGTAGACCATTGTTGCCCGATCTATAGGAAAAACTTTTGCACGTTGTTGATGATGCGCCTTTTTTAATAGATCTCATATCTCAGAAGGGTATCAGTTCAAAAAAAATACTAGATGGCCTAACATATTTTGCCATGCACTGCGCCTATTCATTTGGCAATTCAGTTGTAAATTTTCTCTTGAAAAAATAAATCTTCAAAATTTTTTGAGTTTTCTGCAGAAATCGCCTAATCCCCCTCCATCCATTTTGTACGATCACCGGGCGTGTAATTGGTTATATCTCAAGCCAGGGTTGTTGAAAATTATTCTATTATATATAATTCTATTGCGAATTAAATTAAATCTTTAAAATGATGTATCATTGTTGGTGTTTCTGTTAAAAGATAATATTGGCTAGGGGTGTTTTTCGCCCACCCTGTATATCATAAGATATTTTGTAACCATGTATGATATATTGTAATAAAAGTGATACAGAGTATACTCGCCTATTTTATTATCATTGTATTTTATACTTAAAGGGTCAGTATCTGTATTTCTGATTTTTTTCATTCCTGACATTATTTAAAGAATTAGCTAGACCCACTCTTTCTGTTCTGTAAATATCAATACTTCAATTTTTTTCTTGTGTATGTAGAATGGGAAATAATCGCCTATTGACATTACTATGAGATAAATAATCGGACGGAAAAAATGCTACATATTCTGAATAAATTGTGCTACTTTAAATCCATAGGGTGTGTATATTTGAAATTTATTAAATAATAAATAAACACGAATTGTATACTTTCAAGATAACACGTTGATATTAATAGAAGCACCAAAGGTTTTCTCTATCAACGTGGAAATAAAAGCAGCTCGTATGATGTACATGTACAGTACTGATTGTATAATCTAGAAAATGTAAATATTATGTCCATATGTTACATGTATATGTAATAAAGAATATCATTGAAACTATTAACTTGTATTGTGCTTTAATTGCATGACTCACATTACGAGATAGCTTTATCAATTTATTTGTGATTTAGTTTTAGCAATTGAGCCAGGCCACAGGAAAAGGGGTCTTACTGTCTTATCACAAATATTTTCAATATTCTGATTTTTTGTTTATCTTAAAAAGCACAAGAAGACCTTTCAAATGAGCCATGGCTTGTGTTTTAACAATTTTCCCATGCATAATATTATATGGACCAAAAAGTCGGATTTGAATTTAGCAAATTTTCATCCTAAGCTTGGGCACATTTTTGGCTCTGTAGCACAATTTTTATTTTTCTGATAAGACCGGTTTTCCTATGGCCAGGCTCAATTATTGATAAGAATCAGTCATAGTAAAGAAAAAGAATTCCCAATATAATTCTGGTTAACGCACAAAGAACAACATCACACACCTACCTTTAAAATGTTATTGTAACAATCCACGATTAATAAGATATTCTATTCATAGTGACCATTATATATGATAGGAAACTGCCTTTTATAAAAACATATGGAAGTCGGAACCTGAAATTACTTATATAAAATGAGAAATAACAACCAGTTGCGAAGCCGTAATATGACGTAACGTTACGTATAACATAATGAAGTAAAAATATAAAACTCTACCAGAATAACAGGAGCCACCTTTTTAATAGAATAAATCCAACCACAAAATGATTAAAAAACTAACATGGACATCTATCGAGTGTATTCGAAAAAATAAGTCAACTCAGAATACTTGGGTCAGGTCAGAATACTTCGGCAAGAGTCAGAATAGATGGGTAGCCAAGAATACTTTGGCTTTGACATACGTGTTATAGGTGAATCCCCCACATGCATACATTATAACTATAGGTATATCCAACCCCCGCCACAAATGTGTGCATCAAAACTATAGGTTTATACAATCCCCGCCACAAATGCCTGCATCAATACTATATGTATATACAACCACCCCACAAATACATGCTATAGGTATATACAACAAATGCATGCATCAAAACTATATATATATACATTTCCCCACAAATACATGCTATAGGTGAATCCCCCTACAAATGTATGCATCAAAACTATAGGTATATACAACCCCTGCCACAAATGTATGCATCAAAACTATAGGTATATACAATCCCCTGACAAATGCATGCATCAATACTATAGGTATATACAATCCCCTCACAAATGCATGCATCAATACTATAGGTATAAACAATCCCCTCACAAATGCATGCATCAAAACTATAGGAATATACATCCCCCCAAAACATGTGACGTGTGCGAAGCGATTGCTGCTGCCTACTCTTTTCAAGGAATATCATTAATTGACATAAATATACGTAATATAATGTCGTTATGACTGTCATGGAGGTCGGTTTAATCCAATGATGATCTTACACACCGTAGTTAATCTATAAATGTGGGACTTTTTAAACATATATATAATCTCATAAAGAGGCTCTGAGCATTGATATACTGATATCCTCGAAGCTACCAGCAGAATATTTATTACTGTTGTAATAAAGCTCTAAAATTGCAATTATGGGCACTAAAAGCTCGCTTGATATTTTTCCAAATTACGGAAATGAGGGTTCATTTATAAGGTAAATTAAAATCATGCTATTTGTACTAGTCGTGATGGCTTTAATTGGTGCTTTGTATAAAGTCGTGATGGCTTTGGCGCTTTGTATAAAGGCCAGGGGACTGTTGCTAAGATCACATGTTGAAAATAGGAACAAAACGAGACAGATACAATAAAGCAAAGCACAAGAATCATATAATAGCATACCATGTACAGGACTAAGTGATATGATGATACATGTATGATGAAATGTAATATTTTGACAGTGATTAATGGCATATCAATAATGCTCCCCATTTTATTCCTGATAACAATGTAATCTTATATGTTGCCCGGCAACATTCGCGCAATGCTTGCAGTGAACATGCAGCTCTGAACAAATAGAGTGCATTTTATACTGAAACACCCATAAGCTACAGTGATTTCCATGATTATTTTGTGTTAATGCGATTCGTATTATTTCGATCTTTCCTCAGATGAACCAACTCTTGTATAGACGCATTGCTGATTACAATTCTACAGAATCATCGAAAATATGGTAAAGTAATGAGATAAATTGGAATGGATATATATCATTTGATAGTTGCTTTCGTATGCCTGGATTTATCATGCCACGTTGCTTCACTTTGGGAGGAGGTTCCGCTCTTTAAGACTCTTCTTCAAAATTACTCTGTTGCATCACGTCCAGTGACGTATGATGGCGATACGGTCAACGTCACGCTCGATATTGCGTTGAACCAACTCAGGGATCTGGTGAGTCTGGCGATGATTAATGTTATACATAGTGCGCGCCAAAACTTCAGAAAATCCAATGAACCGATGTCGAGGTAGCTTACTATGAAGTGACCCATAGTCAATATACATTGGTTCATTGACTAGTATTCATTTTAAATTGTCTGCAGTCAAAAAAGGTGGCTAAACTAATCTATAATGACTATTATATTGGTCACATTCTTAGTAATCTATCCCAACATCAGATTAGGCTAACTAAGGCACTTTGAATGGCTTTTTGCCCATACTAAGATACACATTTTGACATAAATTAACATACAAGCTGGCAATGCCGTTGTCATCGGAGCTTGGATACAAAAACCAATTTAGATAATTAAATACTAGGTGATATCTGTCCTCGATATTGCTTATGACTGTTTTCTATAATCCTTATTTTACTTTCTTGTAGAATGAGCCTAACCAGTACTTGTCACTCGTTGTTTGGTTTCGATTCGTAAGTATTTTGATTAAATGCTGCAAATGTTAAACAGTTCGTTGAACACTTATTTTTCAGTAAAATGCGAATGTTCTACTGAAATGTTAACTCAAAATACTGCATACTGCAAAGATGCACACGCAAGGGCTGAAATGTTTGTAGGCTAACATATGAGTTATCACATACTTTTTTGGTTCTAGTGGTGGAGGGACAACCACTTACAATGGAAACCGAGCGAACACGAGAATATAACCGAACTGAGGTTCCGAAAATCAGAAATATGGATACCTGATATCTTTATGTTCAACCAGTGAGTGTTTTATTTAACTTTGTTTAGATCGCCAATGTACTGATGGTAATGGTATGGTAATGGTAATGGTAAATAGATTATCGGATCAAATAACAAGGACGTGATTAGCAAATGCGTTCTTATTTTGCATGCCGTGGTCACATTTGTTCCGAGTTTTAATATCGGCGTTCGGCGATGATTATTTTGGTCAAAATTGCATTCAGTTCTAAACAAAATACTCATCGGAATTATAAGCACGGAATTATTAATTCTCTTGGTATACAATTACTAAATTCACATTCTTTTACAGCGCAGATGAGCAGAGAACCTCCGTGCAAGTATACAGCGATGTATTTGCAGTGGTCCAACACACGGGCTCGGTGTACTGGCCAGTACCTGCTGTCATAAAAACGACGTGCAAAATCGACATGACCTTCTATCCGTTCGACATCCAACGATGTCCCATCAAACTTGGTTCCTGGAGTTACAATGGCAACCAACTCGATGTCTACAGTAAAAATACAGCTGGAGACACCGGGAGCTTCATCCCGCATGGTGAATTTGACGTTTTGGAGTTCCCGGCAAAGAGAAATGTTTTGTATCATGATGGTTACGCGGAACCATTTCCGGATATCACCTACACAGTTGTGATTCGCCGGAAGTCTTTGTTCTACATCTACAACCTTGTATTCCCGTGTGTTCTACTTCTTCTAGTGTGCACAATGGTATTCATTCTGCCACCAGAATCAGGGGAAAAAAATACGCTTGCAATTATGCTACTTTTATCCATGACTGTGTTTTTACTCAATGTTGCAGAAAATATGCCTGCGACGTCAGATGTAGTTCCCCTCATTGGTAATATATTCTAATAAATATTTCCTTACATGTACCATGTAGAGTTTAAGAAAAGGTATTCAATACCTAATATCCTTCAAAAAAGATACTTTCCACCATTCCAAGGTGCGTGTATAAGCATATTAGTTTCTATGACTTTTCTAGGGAAGTTCTTCGGTACAGTCATCGTCATCATGTCACTCTCGGCAGCCTTCAGTGTAATGATCCTGAACATTCATTTCTACGGTTTGCATGGTGACACTGTTCCGCCGTGGATAAAGATGGTCGTCTTGCGCTGGATGGCAAGACCGATAGGATTCTCTAACTTTTCAAAAGGAGATCTAAATTCGGTTGATGTGAGTATAACGGCCATACAATCTAACAATTGATTGATTGCTTGATAAATACTGTAACCTAGAGTCAATCGAATCACTCTTCTATACCTTGCATTTGGTGTTCATGAGCAAGCCATTTGGCATTGGAATAAAAGCTGTCGATCCATAATTTTGGATGGGATAAACTATAAGTACTGTTTTAGGATAACTAATAGACGCGGGCCGCTGCCCGCAACGAATGGGCTATTTAACTTAAATCCACACTGAAAAAATTGATTTATTTTGTGTTTACTATTTATAACTATTGAATGAGTGGAAATATTTAGGGTGTAATTAGTTCAGCTTTATTGCACTGCATGTGACAGTCAATCATCTTTGGTGCCACACTGGTTTTGGATAGCTTGTTAATTAATAATGCACGCTTCTTTGTTACAACTGTATATTATTTTAAATAAACTACAGTTCATTATCTTGTGTTATTATTATCATGTTTATGTTCCCTCCATTCTTGGAGATAATTAATATTATTTAGTTATTGGCCATGGGGTTTAAGTTCAACCATGGGCTTTCAACTAAAGTAAACTCCTATTTTCATTCATTTGTTTATATTTAGGTCGCAAAGAAAGAGGCCACTAGTAGCGTCGCCGCATTTGTGAAAGTCATGAAACATGTTCCGATGGCTGTCAGGGAGAAAGACAAAGGTAAACTTACTACACGACCACTTTCTAAACGATCATATGACAATAATTACAGGAACGACAATGGGACAAACTATATCTTGAACAGCATCCTGACTCATATGGAAACGTTGAATGAAAACCTATGGAAAAACCGGAAGGGCAAAACGGATAAAATGAAAGAGCGGAGCGAATGGCAGATTGTGGCGATGATTGTGGACAGATACCTCCTAATTTTAGTCATATTGATGTCAGTTATAGCAAGTTTGATTGTTTTTATCAACAATGAGCCTATCTAGTAATCTAGAATCATGACTCTCTTACTCCAGATGATTTAACATAGTTACGAATGGGTTGAATTGCCCGATCACCATGTATATTTACAACACATCTGCGTTGAAAATAAGGAAGATGATGTACTGTGAAGCACTACATTATGCAATGCGCATTGTATTATATTGCCCACATCGTCGGGATAGATGTCAATTTTTGATTAGTCTGTCTGAACATGGACCTCTGTAGTGTCTGACCGATTGTAAATAAGTCCTCAACTGTTCAAGATTTAGGTTATTACTTTTAAATTGACATAAAGATGGCAGTAGTGTAGCTGAGGTAAATGTGTTAACATTGTGGACTGCCCTTACTTTCATCTAAGGCTTCCACTATATGCAAGTAACTTGGCTAGAGACTCGAGTAAGACTGCCCTAGCTACCACCCTGCGCGCAGAGTCTAGTTATAAACTACTCTCTAGCTTTTGAGAAGCAAAGTCGAACGAATGCAAAGGGTACGCATACTGTCGTTTTATGAGCATTTTTCACCTCCATATGCCACTACTTGAAAAGTTGTGGAGCGATTCATGTCCTTCATAAGTTTGGCAACCCTAACTCCCGTATTGGACTACGTGTTAAAGCAAAGTTATGTTTGAATTTTAACTATACAACCAGCAATGAAAATGATTATGACGTGAAAATGTAACTTGACTTCATTTCCAATGCCTCCAAATTTTTCTAATTTTTTCTCAATTTCAAAAGATCGAAAATTGATTATCTTATAAAATTATTTATTCAACACATTATACATGTAATATAAAACATGTTATTGTAGAAATTCACCTACGCATCTTTGTAAATAGTTACAATTAAATTTCTAATTTTTTCTGATAATGAAAAATATGTTTGTATGATTCTAAATATACTACTATTCTTTTTTACTTGAAACATGACTTTTCGTAAGCCTCTAAATATTCAGAGTTCTTCAACCCCAGAGATTGTGAATACATTCTATAACTCTTGTTAGGATAAGAATTCTATATTTCAAAACATTACTATCACTGGTATCCTAAAAGAAGTATCTTCCAGGTGATGTTACACTTAAAGAATGTGTTTTACAATTTTACAATTAAGAATAAAAATTGTTCGATATCTGATCTCAACTTTTACATTCAATACATTATTTAGAAACATTTCTGTTCCATTTATTCATTCACTAGTTTACCACAATGTAGAATGTTGTGTAGAAGTTTAAAATTGAATTCAGACTTTTGGCATTCAAAAAAATTGATGACTTTGATGTGTTTTTAAAAATCGTCATTCTCATGTAAAGGTGGGTTCGGTGCAAATCAGATTTTTTGACAATTATATATTCAGTAAATGATACACGAAAAATTATTTTTATTTAGAAACTTGAATAACCTACGCTAAGCGTTAAGTTTACTTTGTAAACATTAAAGTTACAGAGCCTCAAAGTCATTTTTGAAATCATTTTTCGCCTCCTCTGTTATTTCAATGGGAGAGGTTTCTTGAATTTTGAACAGTGTTAACGTGAAGAAACATATTACTTTTTTGTTATACAAAGTTTGCAAATTCAATTTCCTACCTAATTTGTGGTTTTTTTGCGAGAACTTGGATAGATGGATATTCTGTCATATGATTTGCGACAAACATATCAGTTTCCATTGATTTAACATGGGAATGTCGATTTTTAAAACTTTATTAGATTTGTCATCCATATCCGACCTATTGTTATTGTTAACAAAATTGAGAAAATTGGAGGTATTTAAAATGAAGTCAATTTACATTTCCGGCCCTAAAAGTATCGTATTTTCTTAACAGACCATGCAATTAAAAAGTCAAACCTAGATGGCATGAAATCCAATGGGGAAGTTATGGTTGCCAAACTTATTGAGGGGAGTGTACGTACATTTGATATGTACATAATCATAAGCACGAAACACTGTTTTATGACACTTTGGCTAGTGGATGTACAGTGTACATGTACATGTACGTTGTGCAATTTTGTTGTAATTTTATATGTGCCTCCTAAAAAGCACAATACACTTTCTCATGACAATTTGGCTTGTAATCGACCATTTTACGATTTTTGCTATAACTGAAAAACTTGAAACAGTAAAGTAGAAGGATTTTGTAAAAAATGAAAGCCATGGCTGTTCTATGGGATTTGCTACGCATGGCGTTGCTGTCATTTGGTTTTATAATATGCACGTTTAGACCAACGTGAATATAACATTTCTAAAATAATGAAACATCTATAGTTTAGAAAATGTAAAATTAATTCAAACAATATATAGCGCCTTTTGTCCAAACGTCCAAAGAATAAGCATTTTGAGTCCTAATCTTTAAAACATGCGTTCCACAGATGTGTCAAGCATTTAGGACCCTCTGTCGACATGCAATGACGTAGCTCTATTTGTTTCCTGAAATAATTGAGAAAGTTGATATTAAAAAAACGATCAATCTTTGAGACAAATAAAATCTTAAAGTTGTACTTGATTTTTTGAATTGCTAGTTGTCAATATGAGTAACCGTGTACAGCTAAAGTACAATTGTGTTAGAGCGACATTGGTACCACGCAAGACACACATGGCGGCTTTGTTGTCTCTCACCTCGTAGACAGACATGTGACATGCACACCTTTTAAACACACCCATTATACTGACAACCAACCCATGTCCTGTTCAGGCTGGAACACCCCCGGGAAACACCAAACTCACTTCACATGCAAAACAGTGCAAATCCTAATTATTACGTGGTTAGTATAGTCATTGGAAATATATACGATTCTGTGGACGTGTTACTCTTTTGTCTAAAACACATGCATGCAGATACGGCGTGATAATCATTATTATTCCACCATTTAAAACTGGCAGTGGCACCCAGTATATGTAATCGTTATCACACCCCTGGTATACGTGAACGTGCCCCTGTAGTACTTCGAATCATTTACTCATTGAAGATAAACTGACTTGTTAAAATCGAAGTTCTATTGAAATCTTTATCTTTACAGTGTTTGGGGGAGTCCTTCCAAAAATTTCACTCTAGTATTTACAAGTAAACATTTTAGATTTAGTTTATGAAGTTACTATATATGTTTATAGTTGTAATTTCAAAATATGTTTCCAAATATATACTATATAAATATCTATAGATTAGTCACTGAAATGATGACGACTAAAACAGTGCCTATTATTTGCGTGAGAAACTCATTGTGAGGACATAGTGACTTATCTATCTCAATGACTTTACATAAGTTATCCTTTGTCTTTTATAATACGAATACACTCCTGCCAAAAGATCCGAGACATTATTTGGAAATAGATAGATATCTGGACACTGTTCTTTTCTGATGGAATATTTAATAATACGGGCTGTGCACTGCATTCTGATTTATCAAAGTCTATCTTTACTAAAGGTTGTGAGAGACTTGCTCACTCTCTCTATTCAAATGGATAGAAGAAATTGTGAATTCCACAATACCGTTTTTTGGCAGTCGAAATGATCGCCGGGAGGTTGAGCTGCAGGTTTTTTAAATAACGTCTTCTTGAACAAGTTGTGTCCGCTAGGGATTGGCTCCCTATTCAAATATCATTCCTTGTCATGCCTATGCTCTAAAATCCCCAAAGTGCATTCTTTATTCCAGGAAAACTAAATATTTTTGCAATAATTTATTGTTTTTCATCCTTATTGTAATGGTTACATTTTTTATTATTTGGGAGAATTAAAGCACTTTTCAGAAAATCTTCAAATTTGTCATCAATTTCGAGAAAATTTGGAGGTATAGGTCATAAAGTCAAGTTACATCTCCTCCTGTATATTATCAATTTTTCTTTCCAGGTTATAAAAATGAAAATTCAAACATAGAGATACTTTAACAGGTAAGTCTATGGGGGAAAAAGGTTGTCAAACTTATGGAGGAAAGTGTACCTTGATTTAATAGAATCAATGCGTTCAAAGACTTACAAATTGGGTGTACAGATACAACATTAACCAGTTGATCATAAAGTGGCGACCTTGAAGGACACACAATTGTATGATATGACAAGAATAATTCGACGATGACTTTGCGTAATTCATAATACTGTAATTAAAGCATAAAACACAAACGTTTTTGGATAATCTCAAATGCACTAATTATAAAAGACTTTTATTCTCTACAACTATCTAGTACTTAGACATGGTCGAGGTCGCCACATTGACGGGATGGGACATCGCCGTAATCGTTCTCTACTTTGTTATTGTCCTAGGTGTGGGACTATTTGTAAGTATTCTAGTTTATATATGTTTTTTGAAGATCAATAACAATGGTTGTATATTTGTTCCAATAGAAGTGGAAATTAATAAATTGGGCATAGTGACGTTTCTCGAATAATTCGTAACTTTCATTGGTGGATTATCACACACCTATCAACCAAGCCCATATCACGCATATAATATAACATAAATTATTAAATGCATTTCTGAATTTAAGTTTGGGAAACAGAAAGAGATGCATTTCTTCGCACCCGTACTTAGATCTTTAGTTTCAGCACTGATAACCAAAAGATTAAACCTAATTGATTGAGAGGGAATTAAATTGAGGTTGAATGACGAAGGTTACTAAATTCAACATTAGAAAACCTTTCTCTCTTTTATTATTTATTTATTATCACTCACAGTCAACTTTGGTAAATCAATCTCTCTTAAAATCACCTTGGGGAGGAAATAGGTCGAATGTGATAAAAAAAACTCGGTCAGAATGACCTTGGACGTGTTCTTGAATATTGAAAGAACAATTATCAGTTAAGTCCAGTAACTAAGTCAACATTCTGGACTGGACTTGACTGTTATAATTGTCATGCTTTTAGGGTGAAATTAAATAGAATGTGTACTGTTATAGTACTTTTATAGTTTCAATATTGGTATATATGGTATAATGTGGTATATTGTGCCGTATTAATTTTATGTGAGACATGAATATTTAGATAAAATAATAAATGTTCACCTGCTTGACTTTTATACCAAAATATGACTTATATCTGTGGCTCGGGCTAGCTGAAAAATAATAGAATTGCCCCACTACATACGATGACTATAAGACCCCCGTAGCATGCATGCATTAGAAATAAAATAGTTGGAGGGCAACGGCAACGGTTAATTATCGCAAGAAACATGATCAGAAGTTTGCGAGTTGGTGAACGCAGTAATCGATACAATTCATTAATTTTTGTTTCAATTCTATTGAAATAGTTTATTAAAATATTGGGACTTATTAATTATGTAGAATCTGATAGATATATTTGGTTGACCAGTTAGTCTGTATGATATGCACGCATTACGTGCAGGTATGTCCCCATGTACTGTAAGATTGCAAAAAGATACACCAAGGGCCAGGCCCGTAGCCAGGGGGGTTCGCCCCTCCCCCCCCCCCGGCCAAAAATTCTTTTAAAATCATTCAGTTTTTCACCATTTTGAGCACTTCTCAAGTGATTTTAGCCATATTAGGGCCAAAATTGTCAAATGTGAACCCCCCTGGAAATTTTTGAAAACTGAACCCCCCGCCCCTTGGCAAATCCTAGCTACGGGCCTGAAAGGCTGATGATAAATGTTTATGTGATATAAAATATTTATATTTACACCAATACGACAATTTATGCAATAGTTCTAAGTCTAAATCTACTTATTGTCCATTAACATGTTACATGTAAAGAGGCTCGTTCTTAATGCCCCAAAAGCTTTCTCTGTGATTGCATAAATTGCTGATCACACCCATTGACCTTACAACACATGATATTTGTCTAATCAAACACAGTTATTCAAATAATTTATAGTTCTATAGTACGACTTCTGACATAGCAATATCGCTGATCTTTATTCTGGCATCATTCCAAATACGAGAATTGCGTTTAAAGTGCGATGTCACAAATATTTACGTAACAAGCAAGACTACGATTTTTCAAAGCTTATTTTGTAACCCCCATGTGCAAATTCTGCATCTTTTTGATCATAGTCGGTAACATTTTCACATTTTAGTGCTTTAAGAATGTACTGTGTATTGTTCGATATGTTTGAGGTGTTATCATCTCTTTAAGATATCTTTACTTCAACTGACAGTTGAATGTCAATTGTTAATATATATTTGCAAATGCTAAAGTTCAGTTTTTACATTTAACGACTGCGTGAACCCATAAGAGAACTGCGCGCTGGAATCAAACATCACCAAGTACACCCCGAGCCCCTACCACGCGTTTTATTATAGCCCGCAACCATATGCCAATGCTAGTCTTATACAGTTGCCCACATACAATAAAGGATTTAAGAAGAATCCGAAAACTTTCGAATTTCAATGACTATTACTAAATATTAAACATTTCTTTGAAAATATGCAAGAAGCATTATTTTGTTATTTGATCTTGTTTAAGTCTAACAAAAATTATATTTAATTAACAAAAACCCTCAAAATATTTCCGATGGATTACTCCCCAAGCAAGGAAGATGTTGCTAAATGGAGAATGATTGAAAGGGTGCATTGACCTAAATAGAAAACAAAATATTCAAAATATATGAACAGCAGTGTATTGCTTTATTTTACCTTATTTTTCCAGGCAACAATACGAGCAAACAGAGGGAGCACCGAGGGATTCTTCTTGGCTGGGAAGTCAATGACATTCATACCAGTAAGTGAGAAAGGCCACAGACCTAACATTTTGTTGTACTTGGCTAATGGCTCTGCCTAGTATAGATTACGTAGGCATATGTTGAACTTTTACCCTGAAACCCCCATATAGCTTTGAAATATCGTTTAAGTCTCGTTTTTAATGAGATTTTAGGAGATCTGCATTTTTAACCATTAAAGACTTACATTTTCTTCTATTTAATGACATATTTGAATTCTATCAAAGCAACACTGATTTGCAGCACTATTTACTTTTATTCAAATTCGAATGATTTTCTAGTTGTCTAAAAATGGTCGGGCTAAATCTCCATTGACAATGCTGAAAAACCTTTAAAAGTTTATTTTCTCCTACAAGGATCACAATTTTATTATGAAATCACAATCCACATGTCAACAAGATCATATTGTTACATTCCAATGGTGTTTTAAGTTGATCCAACTGAAATTACTTCTTAAATCAAAAATTTAGGTGACACTGGCAATACATTTACATGTATTCTAGCCCTACCCTAGCCCTACCAATACCCATGATGCCATCTATTTTCCATTTATATGGAAAACGGTCAAGTTGGCCGTTTTCCAAATAAATGGAGAATAGATGGGTTATATTATTATACGCTGCAATACTAATATATTAATTCTTCTTGACTAGGAAGTCAATGGCATTCATACTAGTAGCTGGGTGAGAAAGGCCACAAATAAATCACCTGTATCATACTATGCATCTTGTCTTAGATACTGAAATCTGATTGGTGCTAGTAAACGAGCCATACCTTTTTAAAAAGTTTAAAAACTGACCAACATTGATCATGGCTAGTGGCCTTGCCACGTGAGGATTGTACATATAGTGAACTTTCTTGAACTCTGAAACCCTTAAATTGCGGGTTATGATGTTATGCGCAGTGATATTCACACTAATCTACCAATCCTTTATCCTTGCATCTTTATTCACATGCAAGATTTCAGTTGCTCCAAGTTTGTGTTATAACCACTTTGGAAGTCGACGATGGTACCCCTGTCCTTCATCATGTATTAATATATCAGTCAAGTGTACATGTTCCAAAACGAAATTTACTTGATACGGTCCTCTACCTTTAACAAGGATCGACCTACTTGAAACAATGCATTTGAGATAAGGACTTTAATGCCCGCTAGTGATTTTATCATGCAAATATGTTAACCACTGTTAACAATGTCAAAAGAATTCTGACGTGCATTCAGGATTTCTGTTGTATTTCAATCTAAATTGATTCGTAAAAATTACGTATTGCAAAGCATTTTGTAATTCCGTTTAGTGAAATTTCTTTTCCGGTAACCCGATTACGACTATTTTCCTTATACCTTCATACGCAAGGAGGTTGGCTCCCAGAATGCAATTTCAACATTTTCCAACAATGAAAATGTTAGAATTTCGTCATTGTATGACATAAGAATAGATCCTAGTCAGCAATCTAAAAGATTCGACTTGGTCACTTCTTGTATGTTTTGAATTTTGGTTATGTATGGTAATAAGATAAAAAAAATCGTGCTTCTAAATTTGAAGTAAAAATCACGGTATCCATTTAGATTGGATTCATAGCTAGTTTGAAAGTATCGAGTTGCGTCCCTGGGATAAAATCATCCTTGTTTTATAGATGTGCTCAATTGGGGAAGAAATTACTACTAAGAGGATAAATAATCCCCAGAGGTCCAAAAATCTACACGATTACGTACAAGTTCTATCAGACCGTCCCCGAAGCGTAACCTCCGTATTGATATGATTCAACTTCTTTACGCCTCTATGGCGATTGAAACAGATCACATTTAAAGTACTTGTTAATATCTGTTTGACAGAAAAATCTCAGAATATATACCAAGGGATATACTTATATAGAAATAAATATTTCCTGATTATTTGCACATTAAGCCTGGAGCGGGACATATACAATATATCCTGCCCGCTCCTCAGATATGCTACATAATCCCGGGTAATATCTTCCCCAAACCTACTCAAGTATGAGATACATACGACCTTGTGTTTTTTGCCCTAACGTCTGATTTGATTTTTTAACATTTTAGATAGCAGGGTCCATATTTGCGACAAATGTTGGTGCCCCTATGTTTGTTGGGCTCGCGGGTTCGGCAGCGGCCCTGGGAATAGCACCAGTAATGTTTGAATGGCACGTAAGTATGATCCCGTTTAAGATGTTCAAATAACCAATATTATTGAATTTTAAAGTACAAATCCTGCAGTCTATAAAACGATGTACTTTGTCTATATAGTTGTTCTTAGATGACAACAGCAAAAGAAATAATGAATAATGACTCTATAACTACTTAACTTTTGATTTACAAATTGATATACACCACTCCTCATAAGTTTTGCAACCTGAAGTCCAAGTTGTAAATCAGTTATCGAAGCCGTTTATGATTACATTGAAAAAAAACTAAACTAGTGTAGTTAGGGAACCGAAAATTAAGGTACTGTCATGACAGGCTTTGTGAGGCTTTCCAACACAATCTCCAGGTTGCCAAACTTAATGAGGGGAGTGTTCATATCAATGTCAACGTAAATATCGACCCTTGTACATGTGTTTCCCTGGACTAAACATATACAAGTATACATTCAAGGGGTTGGATTTACTCTTATTACATCGGTTCACGTTTAAAAAGAGTTGTTTCTACAAATTTAACAGGTGGTTCATTCCCGAGTAAATGTTAATAAAAATAAATATGTTTACAAATCTTCTTGTTTTAGTTTGTTATTGCATGGCTAGTAGTTATCAATTTGCTCATATTATATTTCAATTTGCTCTCTTGCTCGTAATCGAATCCAATGATGACATATTTCGGCAATCAGTGCCAACATATTGCTTTGAGTATCTATACGGATGTCCAAGATTTGTTAACTGCACTTATTAACCAAAAATAAAAGCGATAAATGCATCGAATTCTATTTTATGGATTGTATTTTCAGGCCACCTATATACTGATTCTACTTGGCTGGGTGTTTGTCCCCATTTACATTGCATCCGCAGTAAGTATATTTTAGTCATCATCATACATGTTGCAATTGCAAACCAGTGGAGTATGGAAGCCATGGAATATTTCCTCTAAAAGGGTTTATGTCAACCTTTGCACGAGGTGAGCACCATCGAGTGTAAACCTTTGCAAGGGTCAGGTTTGCAAAGCATCATTTTCAATCTGAAGAATTAAGTTGTCACCTTGACAACCATTCAACAAATGACCTTATGAGTGGATTATTGGTTATATAATGCAGTGCAGCTTTATGAAATACTGTGTTCTGATTGGCTGGAATCGGACACACCTAGCTATGTGTGAATCTGTCGTTAAAGTTTTTGTTCTACAGCGCTCAATAAAACTATTATGATGCCATTTTGAAAAATCATCTTAACGCATGTGTGTCCCTCGTAATTCTAAGATGTGTAAACGGCCGATGGTAAATGCCATACTTTAAAAGCAAATGGATTAGAGGAATGGACCCCATTGATCACTTGGTGGCATTGACTGCTCAAGATAGTTATCTATTTATTTTTTAATGGCATAATCCAAGGATTATGTCGATCAATTAATTTCCTATTTGGCAGGTGTGCTTTAATATCTTTTAAGTGTTACTGCAATTTAAATTATCTGATTGAATGGAGGGATCAATTGAACAAATTTTTTACCTTTTTTAACGAGTTGCAATTAAGCATATCAAGTTCTGAATATCGTCGTATACTTGACAATGAGACATAAGAAGTGATAGCCTCGATGCTAAACAAATTTGCGTCATTAGTCTATATCCTATGACACACTAAAAACTACGCACTTTTAATGACAGTGTTATTAAGAACGCTATGGGAATAAAAGTGAATTAACACATAGCAGGCGAGGTGTGTCCTATTCCAGCCAATCCGAACACACTATTTCATATAACTGCATTGCAACCCACCCAAACGCCCAATGTCATTTTTAGATTGTAGTGAAACCAACAATATTATTCTTTTGAGAGACACCATTCAGATGGAATCCCAACAAAGGTTGAGCATCTGAAAACATTTCAATTGTTCATAATACTGTACAAGTTTATTTCTTGTTTAGACAACAACGATGCCTGAATACCTAGGGAAACGATTTGGCGGTGTACGTCTGAGAGTATATAACTCTATCGTTCAACTAGTCATGATGGCACTCACTGGTATTTCTGTAAGTAGCCCAAAGTACCAAATATAAAAGAAACAATTATATATATATTAATTAATTTTGTATATTTCAAAATGATAAAATGCCATTATTTGAACTAATTGTTGAACCATGACGATTACAAATCAAACATTAAACAGTGGTTATAATAAAATGAAGATACTTAGCTATGAATGCATTCAAATGATTATATTAAATACATTTTAGGGTGAAATTTACGCTGGTGGACTTTTTATCAGGCAAATACTTGGATGGAACATGTACTTATCAGTACTGCTTATTCTGGCAGTAACCTCCATTTATACAATAGGTAACATATATCAAGAAATATACTACAGGGTGTGCCAAAACATTTTGCAACTTTTTTAAAAGACTAGAAAAGTATCAAAACATTAAAGTATTGGCATGAAAAATTATTTACAGAAACTTAAGAACTGATTAGGAGGCATAATTTACCATTCAAATGCTAAACCTAAACTGGACTTCAAATTTTTTTGTCAGATCTTTGAATATCAATGGTATTATTTATGTGTCCGAGATTTACAATTTTTCGTAGAAAATGTGACTTTCTATGATTTTATATGATCAACAATAACACATTCATTATGTTCACTAAATCTGCTATAATCTTGGGTAACAGTTTAAACAATGTCTAGCACATGTGTTATTCATTATAATGACAAAGTGCTTCAGGAGATACGCTTTTTATTGTTAGAAATCTGCTATTATTGGAACTACAGTGTATGCAACATGAGTTCCTTATACCTAATTTATATTTTACATTGCACCTAAAAAACAAATTTACAAATATAAAATATTCATTTGAGGCAAGTTGAAAAAGTACAGAGTGGCCTGATATTCAGGTACATTGTTTAAGTAGATTCAGCCCACCTTACCTTTACTCATGCTTCGTACTCAACCTCGTTTTATATAATTTGAATACTCTGTAAATATGTTTCAAATTTTTTGCTTTTGTCTTTGGAGGCTAAAGATAGATTAAAGTAAGTGTTAATTCTGACTTATCTGCTTATAATATGATTGTAATTGTGTCTCATAAGCCTTTGGAGGTTGGCCGTATAATTACGGGTGACACTGTAATAAATAAATAAAATATATCTTACTATAGGTGGCGGTTTGACTGCTGTCATCTACACAGATACGTTACAATCTGGAATACTCATCGTTGGAGCAGCCATTCTTGCAGGGCTTTGTGAGTATAACATTGTTTAAGTAACAGTTAAAGTATGTGTATCAATCATCTTCTTGTTACTGTAAACTGGTTGTTTGTCGTCTAACTTGCACAATGAAGATCTTTGCCAATCACTGCAACATATATCAGAAAACACAAACGTTGCAATTACTATCTCTTTTCGTCTTTATCTAAAGCTTTAGAGAGACGAAGGGATAGTACAGACTGAATCGCACAATGAAACTGCGTATGCTCAAAACATTGTTACAAGTGTCTAATTTATTTTGAATCATTGTATTTACCATTGTGTTGCACCTAATACTACAGCTTGATGGTCATTGCCGCTCTATAAACCTGTATATATGTTACTCTGATTTTAATAGAATAAAATTAAAATAATCATGAATCAATTTTATTTTCTAGCTATTTCAAAAATCATGATTGTAATATCATAATGTGATAGCTGATACTCCACCTTGGGGGTCATAGCCAATATAACTGTACTGTCTATAATTTGTTACTTTGAATTTAATAAAAAATAAATAAAAAATATGAAATCATTTTTATGAATCAATTTTACGTTGTAGCTATTACTAAAGTCGGTGGCTGGGAAGGAATGTTTCAACAGTTCCCCGGTGCAGCAGCAAACTATTCGTACGTGAACAGGGCACTTTATGGCAACACAACATGTGGATTTCCACCCGATGACTACATGCATATATTCCGTGGAGTTGATTCTGGCTACCCATGGCCTGGTCTCACATTTGGTCTTACCATTCTAGCAACGCATTACTTCTGCACTAATCAGGTGAGCATTTACCGCAAGCTTTAGCAGAGCAATCTAAAATACGAATGACAATGTAGTGCATGATCGAGCAGAGTCCATAGATGAGACACACACTAAATTGGCCATGGACCTCCTCCTACATTCATAACTATTTCCATTGTGAAAATTCAATAGTGTAAACTATTGGCAAACCTGTATTCAAAATATTATGTCCATCATTTTTAACATTCGTTCAGTTCCCGGTTGGTAAGTGGATAAAATATGCACAAGGGGTAGTAATTAACTGAATGTATTTAACATATATACGTGAATTGCAGGTTATAGTTCAGCGTTGTTTATCTGCAAAGAACATCACACACGCCAAGGCCTCGACAGTTGTTGCAAGCTATCTGAAGATTTTACCTTTCTTTCTTTTTGTAACTCCTGGTATGGTCAGTCGGATTCTGTATCCACGTAAGTTGAATCAAATTATACTGTAAATGATTTTAGTATTTAAATTTAATGTAAGAAAGAACGCCTAGTACACGGTTAGCCAAAATTCAGCATGGGATTAAGGTCCCATTTGGCACAATAACATCTTGAGCAATGAATGTTCTTTCGTTCTATCAAGCTTCATTTGGCCAAAAGCAATAGAATGAGAGAACATTGAACAAGGCTCATATGACATTAATCCCATGATGGATGACTGTGTTGTTTTAAACATTTGTTTGGTTTACCTTTTTTGGCTCACCCTGTATGTCTGGATATACTGATACTCATGGTATTAAAAAACCTTAAAGGAAACAAAGTAATATGAAAATTCCCAAATTGTACAAAATGTTTTTATTAATACTCTAATTTCAAGTTCATATATTATAACATTTGATATCATACAATGAAAGTTCAACAAAGTTAATCAATTTAACCAATGTGTTGAACAACAAATATGCTGCAAAGCAAAAAGCATAGCAGTGACCTTGACCTTGAATATGACACACTTATTGTTGCAGAGGAGATTGGCTGTGCTGATCCTGACCATTGCAACGAGGTATGTGGTAATCCAGCTGGATGTACCAATATAGCTTACCCCCTTTTGGTCCTCAGAGTCATGCCTACAGGTAAATATTATAAACTCCCCTTCATAAGTTTGTTATCTAGAGGTTTTCATTGCATAAAGCCTGTCATTGTTTTGGAAGTGTAAGACCCAACTATAGGCATTGGAAATGGTCGTCAAAAACGTAATCAACTATATAATCAGTTGCAGAGAGCATTGCAAAATCAAACATGTTCCTGTAACGATATTATGCATTGGTCTTGCAGCAGAATAGCATTGTATCGAGCAATTGCATATATATATTCTTAAATATTGTACCTTCGCTAATACCGTTCAACAACAACTACAACTGTAACAATGTTAATTAATGCCAAATCATCTTTGCAATTATTTTCAGGTCTAAGAGGACTCATGTTAATGCCAAATCATCTTTGCAATTATTTTCAGGTCTAAGAGGACTCATGTTAATGCCAACTCATCTTAACAATTATTTTCAGGTCTAAAAGGACTCATGTTAATGCCAACTCATCTTTGCAATTACTTTCAGGTCTAAGAGGACTCATGTTTATGCCAACTCATCTTTGCAATTATTTTCAGGTCTAAGAGGACTCATGTTAATGCCAACTCATCTTTGCAATTATTTTCAGGTCTAAGAGGACTCATGTTAATGCCAACTCATCTTTGCAATTATTTCCAGGTCTAAGAGGACTCATGTTAATGCCAACTCATCTTTACAATTATTTTCAGGTCTAAGAGGACTCATGTTAATGCCAGCAACTCATCTTTGCAATTATTTCCAGGTCTAAGAGGACTCGTGTTAATGCCAACTCATCTTTGCAATTATTTTCAGGTCTAAGAGGACTCATGTTAGCTGCAATGTTAGCTGCGCTTATGAGTTCACTTACCTCAATATTCAACAGTTCGAGTACACTGTTCACCATGGATATTTGGCAAAGAGTCCGACCCAGAGCCTCTCAGAATGAACTAGTCTTAACTGGACGTATATTCTCAGCTATAATGATTGGGTTATCCGTGGCGTGGCTGCCAATTTTACAATTAATTCAGGGTTCGCAATTATGGAACTATCTTCAATCAATCTCATCTTATATTAATCCTCCATGGGTAGCTGTATTCTTGCTAGGAATGTTCTGGCCAAGGTGCAATGAGCAGGTATGGCTTACTCTTTCAACTCTGTATTACACAACTGTCCGAGAATTCAGTCCTTGATATCTGTCATCTCGTGTTAACACGTTTAATTAACTGAACTAGTCTCTCCAAATCTGACCCTGTAATACATAAAAATTGAAATAATATGAATTCCTTCCGTCAATGGCTTGGATGCAAAGCGTCTTTTCAGTAAATGCACTTCGGAAACACTACACACAAAGTTATTGATTCAATCACCTTTCAAAAATTACGAGTTATGCTCTTGTTTAGTTTAATGTTTTCAAGTTATAGTATGGGCAGAGAAGAAGGTATTAGACTCATTTTTAGTTGGAAATTCTTGGTGCCTTGGTTATGCTTTTTGGAGAGTATTTCAAAGGACTTGTTGAACTTGTCCGTTGTTTAATAAGAAGGCATTACAAAAATACCTTGTGTATAAATATATCATTTCGTCCTAGGGCGCCTTTTGGGGACTGATGGCCGGTCTAATTGCGGGTGTAATCAGAATGGGGATTCACTTCAGTTTCCCAGAGCCTTCGTGTGCAGCTGGTGTGGAAGATACACGTCCTGCAATCTTCAAGGATGTCCACTATTTACACTTCGCTATGATATTGTTCGCCATTTCTTTCATTGTGATTGTCAGCGTTTCATTGCTTACGGAACCAAGACCAAAGAGAAAGGTAAGTACCTTTTCCATCCTTGGTCCAAAGTATTTCACTTCTTCCATAGACTTAATTGAGTAATAAATGAAGTCATTTGAATTAAGGATGACCTTTACACATTTGTTTCATTTGTGTAATATAGAATTTTTTTTTTTTTATAATTTTTTTTATTTCAAAGAATAAGCATGTTAAAGCACTTGCAAAAAAACAATTACAGTACAGTTACATGGTAAACCTACCTTTTGAGGGTGTGAGTTATGATAACACCCACCTTTAGTCACACAACCTGTATATAGATTTAGTGAATCTTTCAATCGCTTAATCATTAACACTGGGAATCGCCAGATCCACCAATATCCTTCTTGAACGTGAACATCAATGCATTCTTGACAAATTATGACTGAATCAAATTACTGTGCGTTAGTTTCACATTCACTCCACTGTAATTCCAGTTGCATCGACTTACATGGTCCACTAGGATGGATAAGGAAGAGCCTGAACTCTCCTCTGATGAAGAAGCGGAGGAAGAAGAAGAACTAACTAAAAAAGATCCAGAAGCACCTGAAGGTAATCAAATTTAGTGGACATTTATATGTCTTATTATCAAAATGACGGGGTCAGTTGAATTGACAGATAAATACGTTTTTTCATACTCTGCCCTGAAATTGTTTAGAAATAGGGAATTTTCCAGTAAGCGCCATTATCATCAAGACATTATGTAAGATAGATTATGTCTCATAGCGGAATCAATTGGTGAATGATCTTGCGTTTTCATACTAAAGTTTGTTTTTGAGTTTTTTCATATAGTTTCATGTATTTAAAGTTATTTAAGAGACAGGGCCCTTTTTCTAAAGCACTTTTTAGAAAAATAATTGAGATTACACTGAATAACTGTTATTTCTGCTTTTTAGCACAATAATAATAGAAAATTCAAATTCCAAACTCCTTATCTCACTATAATTCACCAATGGAGAATGGGAATTGAGCAACCAAACTTGGCACAAAGTTAGATCCTAGGATAAACTCTAATCATAGGGCTTTGATTTTTTATGATATCATATATTTGCCTAGCAACCACATAGCAACCGCCTAAAATAACATATTTTACAATATAAATCCACTTAATATATGCTAGGATGCCATAAGACCATTACAAAAAGTATTCTTATCCTATAATACAACAGTTTTAACATATTTACAGAAGTGACATCACCATGTTGCATAGCAACAACATGGCAATAGGTTACAATGCCCATTTTGACAATTGGAAACCATATATCTGTTATATGTTCACTGCTTTTGGATCTCTTCCACATTATTTCTTAACATATAGCAAATGTATTGATGCAGTTATGTCTGACCATTTTCCCCAGCAACGGCTTGAAATAAAGGTTAAATTTGCCTAGCAACGACCTAGCAACATCTTAATATAGCAATGTTTCTCATAAGAATTTCACTATATATCCACTATATGTGCTTGAAGAAAATCAATATATATGTCTTTTGTAATTTATAAAGCTTTATAGTTGCTCACTTAAAAATCTTTCGTTTCTTGTGTAAAGCATGATGGGACATTTCTTGTCTTATGTATATCAAATTGCAATTCATGTTTCAGTTCTGAGATTTAAGTAATCACAAAATATTCATCACATTGATTCTTGATACATTTTCAGCATTGATACCCCGAAGATAGTACTTTATTTTGGTGTATTGCTTCAATTTCCTTTGCAGGTGCATAGTTCGATGCAGTAGGCATTTGCAGTTCCCTTTGCAGTCACATTTGATGCATCCACATTTAATTATGACTTTACATGCTTTGGATGCTTATGCAATATTGTCCATCTGTGCACCTACAATCCTGATGGGCTCCTAAACCATTCCCATAGGGTTGGTGAAGAAGAACTGGATCCACTAGTACTATATACCACTGCCACCATACATGTGCTTCTTGTCAAAAGGGCACCTGTAAGATCATTATATAAGTTCCATTGCTTGAAAACTGTCACCTTGCTATGATGGTAAAATGCAGATGTGGTATCAGTTCCAGTAAGGGATTGGAACATTGGCAGGGCACGTGATCTTTGTGGTTATAGTGCTCAAGCAAATTCATAAATTGGAATGAAGTGTTAGTTTTGCCTTTTGAAAATGCTACATAGATCTCAATCTGTGGCTCAGAGGCACAGGCTATTAGGCTATCACAACATTACTGTCCACCAATCTTATCATAAATGTCCTGCAACCTTTTCCGATACCATTAGACACGTCCAAAAACATATTTGTATCTGCCTCTTCCTGGGAGCAGGGACTATTATGGCATAATTGGCAGAATTACTGATGCACTCTACTTCAATGGTCGAGACAAAGACTCTACCGTCTGCCATAATATGTCTTGTAACAGTTGCTAGTAGTGCAAAGAACTCTATCTTGTTGTCATTGATTCTGAGAAATCCTATCCTAACACCGAACTACCAAGCAATTGGCAAGACTTTCTTGAAAGATAGAGCTCTTTGCACAATTCCTACATCCTTCGGCATCTCAAGTAGTAAAACTTTAAACTTTGAAATTAATGACTTTTAAGTTTCAGCAAAGCCCAGATAAGATTTAAGCTTTTAGCAAGTATAACCCTGATCTAATGATTCAATCAGTAAATATGGTGTCTTGATTTAAAATCTATATACAGTAGAACCTGTATATCTGAACACCTGGCTAATCTGAACACCTCCCAATCTGAACACTTTTTTTCGGTCCCATTTTCTCCTCCCATTGACTCCCATGTTAAAAAAACCTTGAAATGTGAACACCTTCCAATTTGAACAGTGAACAGTCATATTTGAAAAATTCACCTGTCTAATCTGAACACTTTTCATAAAATTTCTGATGTTTCATACAAAATTGCTCAAATTTTGTCATGATATCAAAACTTTGGGAAATAATCTTGAATGGTCTCATTCATAATGGGGCTTTCCAGCATGACTAGATTCATTTGAATCAAATTTTCAAATTTCTGGAATGCCATAAAGCTATGTGGTCAAACGAACTATAAATATTTATCGAGAATGTGTTCACATTTCTTCAGAATCCGGAATATTGCGAATGCAAAAACCTTGAAATGTGAACACCTCCTAATCTGAACGCTTTTATCCGGTCCCAATGGCGTTCAGATTAGACAGGTTTTACTGTACTAGTATTTTGAACACACCCTGCTGGGATATATATACCCCATATGCTGGCTTCAGTGGAATATTACTATCCAAATGTGGAAAACTAACATGTCATGAGGCAGATACATATATGTTTTTGCATGTGTTTCATGGTGTAGGAAAAGGTTGCAGGACATTTGTGATAAGATCAGTGGACACTGATGTCCTTGTGATAGCCTTAGCCGGTGCCTCTGAGCTACAGATTGAGGTCTATGTAGCATTTTCAAAATGCATAACATATCGCTACACTTTAGTTCATGAGATTGCTAGAGCACTAGGACCACAAAGATCACATGTGCTGCCAATGTTCCACGCCCTTACTGGAACTGATACCACATCTGAACTTTACCATCAGCGCAAGGTGACAGTTTTCAAGCAATGGAACTTATGTCATGATCTAACAGGTCCTTTTGACTCAAACAGATCGCTCATAAACCATAACAACAGAAGTTACGGGCACAATGGAGAGGTTCATTATCCTGGTTTACCAGCCTACAAACAGTGAGACAAATCTTAATGTTCACATGTTCACTCATGACAGATGGATCCCGATAGAGTACCTCCAACATGCGATGCAGCACTCTATCATGCCATGCTAGCAGCTCTCCAAGGAACACATGCATGGGGGCAATGGTATATAGTGCATCCAGTTCTTCCTTCACCAAACCTATGGGGATGGTTTAGGAGCGCATCAGGATTGTGCGTACCCAGATGGACAATACTGTTGCAAGCATCCGAGGCATGTAAAGTCATAATTAAATCATGGATGCACCAAATGTGACTGCAAAGGGAACTGCAAAAGCCATGGTGCATTCTACTGCACCGAAACTATGCAACTGCAAAGGAATTGTAGCAATTAACCCAAATAAAGTATTATCTTAGGGGTATCAATGCTGAAAATGTAACAAGGATAAATATGATGAATATTTTGTGTTTACTTTATCTCAGAATTGAAACATGAATTGCAGGACTTTTGCAATTTGATAAACATAAGACAAGAAATGTCCCATCATGCTTTACACAAGAGACTACAAATTTTTTTGAATGTGCAGCAACAAAGCTTTATGAAATTAAAAGACATACATATTAATTTTCTTCAAGTACATAATAAATAGTGGATATATAGTGAGATTTTTATGAGAAACATTGCTATTTTAAGCTGTTGCTAGGTCATTGCTAGGCAAATTTAACCATAATTTCAAGCTGTTGCTAGGAAGTTGCTACGAAAAATAGTCAGGCATAACTGCATCATTTATGCTTAAATACAATTTCTGTATGTTAAGAAATAATGTGGAAGGGATCCAAAAGCATACAAGTGAGTATATAATAGGAATATGGTGTGCAAATGTCAAAATGGGCATTGTAACCTGTTGCCATGTTGTTGCTATGCAACATGGTGATGTCACTTCTATGTTTGAATTGTGTTCTAGGATAAGAAGACTTTTTGTAATGGTCTCATAGCATCCTAGCATATATTAAGTAGATTTATGTTGTAAAATATGTTATTTTAGATGGTTGCTACGTGGTTGCTAGGCAAATATATGATTTCACAAAAGATCATACCCCTCACATTAGAGCTTATCTTAGGGTCCAACTGTGTGCCAACTTTGGTTGCTCAACTTCCATTCTCCATTGGTGAATTATAGTGAGACAAGGAGTTTGAAATTTGAATTTTCTGATAACATTGTGTTAAAAAGCAGTAATAATGGGTATCCTCTGTTATCTCAATTATTTTTCTAAAAAGGGCTTTAGAAAAAGGGCCCTGTCTCTAAAATGTCTTGAAATACATAGAACAATAAGAAAAAACTCCAAAACAAACTTTAGTATGAAAACGCAAGGTCCCTATGGGGGCCTTGCACCAATTGATTCCACTATCAGGATTATTGCAAAAATGGAATTCGATATTCAATTATTTTGAATTAAAAAAATTACAGCAATAATAGAGATATTAAAGCCCAGGCAATTAAAACAACTCATAATCACCGATTGGCGTAATTGGGCAAGAAATGAATGTATTTATACCAATTTACTATTCTTTTCCAGACTTATCGAAAGCAAGGAAAGTGTACAACTTCATATGCGGGATTGAGCCAGAACAAACAAAGACGAAACTTTCCAAGGAAGCTGCGGCAGCGATAAGAGCTGAAATGACCGACATTGCAGAGACTCCATTCTTATCAAACATAATGAACATCAACGCAATTATCGCAATTGCTGTCACGTGTTTCCTGATTGGATTCTTTGCATAAAGATATTAAATACGCATGGGGATAGACTATGCTGACAATTGTAAATAAGTACTGTTATTTTAATACTGTCCATTTAACATACAACAGAGAATGTAAGGAGCTGTAACAAAACGTTTTCTAACAAAACCTTTATATTTTTTTCCAGTTTTGTCATATTTCATATTTAATAGTGCAGTTATATAAGCCAGTGCAATTGACCCCCAAGGAGTACTTTTAAGTAATTTCCTATTATGCCGTTTTCGTATGACATCATGATTTCCGATGTCGAAACTACATTGTATGGATTTCGCAATTTCTAGAAATGTACCTTTAGCTATCTTCGAAGAACATGGGTTAGCATTTCCTAACGTGTGAATGTGTAACAGTAGCGATGTACTTTTAGTGACCTTGGCAGAATCGGAGTTCATAGTGATCACTCCCTTCAGAACACCTTGTACAATTATAAATGATAAGATTGCGCCTACTCCACAAACTAAGAATGACTTTACAAGTTAGTCTTTTGTTTATTATATTTGGTTAGGTGCATAGGAATGTACACGATTTATTTGTAGGTACATTATCTGTACAAAAAACGTGTTCATTGATATAAGTCAAGAAATTATATCTCACTTCAAATTTCCTTCAGAATTTTGCATTTTACCCTTCCACAGGGGTTTAATAGTTAATCTCTGTAAAAGAAACACCTTATCAAAAATATTTCTTCATATTTTTCTAATTGTACTTTCATGTTGGCAGTTTGTATGTTCTGAAACACTGAGATAATTTCCTGACTATATATAAACGTTATCCATTTTTTATTAACATGTACATGTGGATCTATGATGAATTTCATGTAAAATAATTATTTGAGAAGTAGCGATTTTTCGCTGGAACACATCATCAGGAATTTATAACGTCTGTGGCCAAATCTTCATGTTGATGTTTTGTATATTCTATAACACATGCGATTATTTCAATTTTTCCTGAATATATTGTATATATTGAACGTATATTGAAATAAAAAAAACTAATGTATATATGTATACAATTGTTCTACCTTGATGCTTACCTCATTCATAAGATCTTTGAACGTCGGTGTCTCAATGAATGCACCGTGTGATACAATTTTGTCTTCTCCTCGGCGAATAGTACAGGGCGTTCCAAAAAGATTGGACCGAAGAAGTCACCTAATTTGTCTGTCATTGTCTGAAAGTTTCAGATTGATTAGACAAATAGTTTTGGAATTATTCCGATCCAGTCTTTATGACATACTCCTAGTGGCGACCTTGCCTCTCAAGACCCAGTTGAACTCTGGGGAAGAAATTGTCAATCATACATTTTCACAAGATTTTCTAGAACTTAGTTCCACAGCTTCCCTCACTAAGTCAATGTTCTGTTCTGTCCGAGCAGTTTTTACTTTTTGGTCTCCAGAATGGCTCCCTCTTTCTACAGCCTTGGAGTTCAAATTCTTTACAGAACCAGTTTTTTTCTTCACCCAGACATTGGTAATGCTCTTTCCAGGAACCTTTCTGACATCAAAAGTTCACCTAAAGTCCTTGCGCACAAAAGTGTACAGCTGATGTTACTCTCTATTTTCTTCTATAGTTCATGTTAACTTCTAGATAGTTTTAGCATGCAGGTTTTCCATTATAACTTCCGAAAAATGAACAAAATAAGTACATTTTCTCAAAGCTATGACAGTTCCTTTCGGTCAAATTCTTTGGAACACTCGGTGGTCTTGCTGGTTTTAAACATCAATGGCATATAATGGCGCACGAAATAATATGGACTTACTCTTTGGAAGAGAGACCTTAGCTTTGAATAAGAGTAAGTAAAAATGTTCAGCTATTTGAATGTACCTTGCCGGGATAATCTGTATATTTTGTTAGTACCTCAGTTGAAATACTCAATTCTGATTGGTTGATTAGCGGTCAACAATATGTATTGTTAGTAGCTCAGTTGAAATACTCGATTTTGATTGATCAACGAGCGGTGAATAATTTTAACTGTACACCGCGCAATGCATTGCCGGTGAATAATATTCCCAGCATTCCACTAAAATGACGTCATTATCAGACGATAAAATGGCAGCCGCTAACACTAGCCGTTTCAAAAATGTTGAAGATGAGGATATTATTAGTCTCTTAGAGAGTAAAGACAGTCAAAATACGAAGAAAAATCTAAAACTTTGTACAAAGCTTTTAGTGGACTTCGCCCAGGAGAGTAATTTGACTCCATTGAGTGAACTTACTGCCGATATACTGAAATACAACATGAACGTCTCGAGGGTCTGGATCCAACTTCAAGTCAACTTCAAGGGTCAGAAAAATCTAAGATATTCTTCGGACTAACAAAACAATTATAGACCTCTCCATTCGGTTTACTGTCAAAATTATATCCCTCGACTGTAAACCTCGACCTACGGTCTCGGTTTACAGTCTCGGGATAATTTTGACAGTAAACCTCTGGAGAGGTCAATAATTGTATATTGTAATGGGACTTATGTTATTTATTCTTTTTGAAGTTTTGACACACAAATTACAATTCATTCTTATATAGACCTATATCTTAAAAATTATGGAGGGAGAAAAATTTGAAAATTCGGACCAATTTTTTAAATATTGATCCCTTTTTTCCCCAATATATTCCTAAAGGTGTCCGATGTCATTCTATTTGATTTCACGTTTAATATATACATATCAACGAATTCAAGTCAATTATAATTAATTTTGACGTTATAATTAAAAAGTAATTTTACATATTTTTATTAAAGACATTGTTAGAGTAGAATATCAAGATATCGATAAATACGTCATCATGGAAAGGTAATATAATCTTCGAATGTCATTGTTGATCAATACAAACGTAATTGGTTTGTTTAAGTGAGTTCCGAAGTGCACTACAAATTGTGCAAATAGGGCTTATCTATTATTCGCACCCCCAGACACTCCCAAATGGAATACGATTGTTAATGTCCATCACGTGTATATCCTAATCGATGGGCATTGTTGTGAACTAATATCATCATTTCCTCTAAGTACTTAGAGCACATGTATATACACTATAAGAGGCATGCTAAAACTGCTTTACATACCAAATTGTAACTGAAAACTGAAACCTAATCCAGTGCTGCATTTAACAGTCAAGGCTAGTTCATTATTTAACATTAATTTGGAACGCAGTCAATGATCGCTGATTATATACTTTACATCTTGATGAAGAAGTCAGTCAAGGATTGTCAATTACTTCCTCCCTATATTAGAAAGTTAGTTAAAGGCTAGGGATTACTTCACAGCTTTATAAGGATGGAAGTAAGGAATCCATAGCTTAATCGGAGGGCATTCAAGGATTATTGTCAACTTTTGCTGATTTATGTTGTTGATTAGGAAATCAGCCAAGGATTGTTGATTTCTTCGCAGCTTTTTTGAGAAGGCAGTCAATAATCGTTAATAACTTTGCAGCTTTATGACTAAAATTTAGTACAGGTCCCAGAACTACGTTTTTACGCAGCCCGTTTTAATTTTGAAAAAATTTTGAATCTCTAGAATTAATGGCATATTTCACACTTTTCTCAAAGAATATCTCACCTGGTGCAAGGGAAAGATCAATACCCGGTGATTTCAGCGGGAAGTGGCGTTTCGTTCATTGGATGAGCTGCGCGCGCACGCATAAATGTGATTATCCAATATAATTAGGGGAAGGCTATTTGAAGTAGTTTTTGGTCTCAGGCGCGACCCAGGGCTGTTGTCTTAAGGACATTTCGTTGAAAATGAGCCATTCGGCTGATAATTGGTAAGAGTTTGCGATCTTATAATGTATAACTGTTACTCAGACACATATTTTGACACGATTCTGTTGGAAATAAGCTTTGAACCGAGAGATATTCACGATTGATATGCACATTTTTGATTGTGCCATTGCTTTTCTATTGCACAACCCATGTATTGATAGAAGTAACATTAATAAAACAGATTGGTTTACCTTCAATACATGGCAGACACTACATATCGGCCTATTAATACCAGTTTGTGCCTAAATAGTTTTATATTTCCATCCACGGCCTGGAGCCTGGGTGTGTTTGTCTCTTATGTGTATGCTTGTGCATGGACTTCTAATCACTAGCAGAATTTAACATGATGCAAACTCGACATTATAACTCATGCTGTAACATTTTGACTTCGCTGGAAAACAATAGGAATTATTTTTCTTGCCAATCAATCATGAATCACAATCAAAATTTCAGAATGATCAATCAGGCAATGATCCAAATCAAGTTATAACATTATATGATATTCAGCAAGAAGTCCGGTAGAAATACAGAATATTTAAACATCAAAGCTGAAAGTTAAAAGCTAATCTGTCAATTTTCTGTCTGCAAAAGAGCGTCCCAAGAGCGTTTACATTTGACACAATAACAGACTGAGGCTTTGAAATCTAGGATTCCCCAGGAAAATATGACGTCATACTAATTAGCATAAGGATTTCCCTATTGGGGTGGGTCGAGCCTTGTTCGAAAACACAATCCATAAATACATGCTAATTTCTAAGGAGATAGGAAGTGTATAACGTGTTTATCGATTTTGTTTAAAGATTAAATCAATTATCAAATTGTTTAAGTGGATAAAGTGGTCACACTTGCTTCAATTCATAGCGAAATCGACGGATAGAAACTGACCGAATTCCCGATATCCTACCCCGTATTACTGTAGGCTATAAGCACAGTGACCTACAGAGGGCGCTATCACAAACAAGTACTGGACGAACCGATAAATTCCCGGGTATTGTAACGCCCTTGCCTGGTGTTTAACTTCTTCATTATCTTCATTATTTTACTTAAATATTGTCTAAATTAAACAAAAATTCTAAAAGATAAAAATCGCCTATATCGGACACGACGAAAATTAAGGTACATATGATGAGATGGGGTCGATGCTATCACAGTATTACTTTGCAGCTTTGAATAAAAGGAACGTAGACAAGGAGTATTGACGTGATTACTTTGCAGCTTTATATAACGGGAATGTAGACAAGGAGTATTGACGTGATTACTTTGCAGCTTTATATAACGGGAATGTAGACAAGGAGTATTGACACCATTACTTTGAAGCTTTATATGTAGGCAGGAAGTATTGACGCGATTACTTTGCAGCTTTGCATAAAGGGAAAGTAAACAAGGAGTATTGACGCGATTACTTTGCAGCTTTATATAAAGGGAATATAGGCAAGGAGTATTGACGCCATTACTTTGCAGCTTTGCATAAAGGAAAAGTAAACAAGGAGTATTGACGCGATTACTTTGCAGCTTTATATAAAGGGAATATAGGCAAGGAGTATTGACGCCATTACTTTGCAGCTTAACTCTTAAGGAAGTCGAGGATTGTCAATTAGTTTTTCCTTAAAGAGACAGACAGCCAGACAGTGATAACGTATTATACCACCTCTTGATTAGGAAATCAGGAAAGCACGATGACGACGGGTGAAATAATTGATGCTATTACATTGGCACTTGTCATAGTGATTGGCACATTTGGTAATATTGTCATCATGGTGGCAGTTAGAATCCATAAACCCCTTCAAACCGTCCCCAACGCGTTCGTTGTTAACGTCGCATTTGCTGATTTGATCATCACAACATATGCCCTGCCAATAGTTTTAGCTAACGTCATTCACCGTGA